ATGCCAACATATGGCAGGGTATACAGCGCAGAACTGTGCTCTGGGATTTTTAAGGATGTGACCTTTGGGGGGGCAGGTCATCAGGCCTTTCTTCTCAGCTGCCTCTGAATGGATTCACATCACCAACCTTTTGGCTACCAGTCAGGCGCTTTACCATCTGACCTGTGGATACAGGTGTAGATAGAGAGATGGGAAGTTACAGTTGTTCTGGTCCTTTAAATGTACTTACATGGACAACAAAGGAGTGCTTGCTTATTATCACAATGTAGACATCAAACAACATAAAAGAAATGATGTTAAATTTACCAAGCTCCACTTACCTCCTCCCATTATCACCCATTTAGTATAGCTGTTTTAAACAAAGAATTTGAAATTTAAAATAATTCAAAGTGATTCTTTCCTTGTTTTTCTTCGTACATGCAGTGTCTGAACTCATAATACGTCTCATATTCTCGTGTCATTTACTCTTCTTGCCCGCAGTTGGCAGTATGATGTGGCCATCTTTCAAAGCTGATACATGTGACTCCTCTATTTGTTTCCAGCGGCCCCCTGGCATTCCAATGAATGGAAGTGCTTTTATTTCCCGGCCATTCTTCTCCTTGGGGTCAGCCAGTTTGGTTTTAGGAGATGCTGCTGAAAAAAGGATTGTGTTTTAAGCAGACACATTTAAGTCCTGGTAGTTCTCCTGCTCCTGGGGTGAGTTCATGGCCCACCCTCCACAAGCACAGCTGGCCCGGTCTGTCTCTGGAGGCTTGCATGTTGCTGTGATGCTGAACAGGTTTCAGCAGAGCCGACAGACTGAGGACGGAAGGCCTGGGGACCCTCCGACAACCATGTGGACCCCAACAGTGACCGGCAGCCATCTCACCCCTTTGGGTGCCTCAAATGTTAGACTTGTTTCTACGTATATCTGACATGCTGGTTCCAAAAATGCCCCCCCCCACCTTTTCCCCATGCATTATGCCCTATACCACTCTTCATTCTGCTTGCCCATAGAAAATCAGGAGATTTTAATGTCATGTTCGCTAGCCGGAGACAGAGGGAGTAGATACTGGCTTTTTAAAATGTGTTTGGTACTAAATATTTAGGTCAAGTTATACTTCACATGGTGTCTTCTGAACCAAAGATATATTTGAACACTGCGAATTACAGGAACCTGGGATTTCCCCCAAGTATCACTACACCTTTACTAGGAGATAAGAAGCAGGCAATTCCAATTAATTATCTTAAAAGGGACCAGAAGAAATCAGAGTTATTGCACAATAAATACGGAGCCTTGGTGGCATAGTGTTATGTGTTTGATTGCTGACTACAAGGTCAGCGATTTGAGCCCACCAGCCGCTCTGCAGGAGAAAGACGAGGCTTTCTGCTCCCAAAGATTCACAGCCTCAGAAACGCACAGGGGAAGTTCCACTCTGGCCTATAGGGTCACCACCGTGAGTCGTAATCAACTGTCTGGTAGTGACTTTAGTACAGTAGCGATTCAAATGTAAATGGGTCTATCGGGGTTCAAACTCCTTTATTAAAATTAAAATGTTCCAGGTTTATTATCTGTGCACAGAAACTTTTAAAATAAAAGTTAGGATTTTTCTTATAAAGAAGCGTGGTGTCACCATCACCTCTCAAACATTTAACCTGAATTATCCATGGACTTCTGTATGTTAAAATGTATTCTGAAATGCATAATTCGAAGAAGAAAAGATCTTCAAAATATTTATGAAAATTGCTATGAAGTCTTACATTTTTGAAATTCTAAATGACCCTCACACCTTCCACATGTGTGCCTTTTTAATTTTCTTTTTCATTTTCCACTCTTCTTAAGTCGTGTTCTGGCTTTACAGTGCCCCAACTAAAAAAGAGAAACCCACTACCATTTAATCAATGATAACTTATAGTGGCCCCTTAGGACCGAGAAGCGCAACCCCAGTGGGCTTCCACACCTTTAAACCTTTTAAGGCTACAGAGTGACTTATGGGTTCAAATCGCTGAGCTCACAATTGGTAGCTCAGTGCTTAACCAACTAGCCATCATGGAGCCATGTATAGCTTCTCTCGGAAGCCCTTCGCTACCTCATTCTTTTCCCAATACCTCTTGCCTTTTTTTCTCTTACCTTGCTATTTGTGGGTCTGAATTCTTTTTGTATTTAAAACGAGGATGATAAATCAATACATTAGTATAACTTACCATAATAACTGAAAATATAGTGGAGTAGCATATCTAAGGAACTAGAGCTAATGCTGTCTACCCTGTGCAATTTTCTGAATCAGCACTGCCAATAGCCCCAGGAGTAGGCCTAAAAGCCATGAACACACACACACACACACACACACACACCTTTTTTTTAAACTTTGCTTGGGCTGAGCTTTGGTTCATTGTGCACGCGTTGGGGGCAGACTCAATGGCAACTGCCCACAGCTACTTCGACTTCTTGTGAATAAAGGTGCAGGCTAGGGTCTCCAGCAGTTTGCAACCCAAGAATGGATGAGGCAAAAGCCAAACCACTCATAGTGCTTTGATACAACAACTTTTGTTGGCATGCCTACCGTGTCCCGGGCACCACAGCTGGGTGCACGGGCTAAGGACCTAGAGACGTGGTCTCTGACCTCAAGCAGCTCACCCATGCAGCATGTGACGAAATGTCAAGATCAATGTTATCAGTGATGCATCCCAGTGTTATAGGTCCACGGTACACTCTTCGTAAAGGTACCAGCCCTGCTCTGGCCCCAGAAACAAGTTCTTATTGACTCTGGGACAGTTTTGCATAGAAATTTTATTACACTTCTTTCTAAACCACGTGTGAGCACACATACTTACGTACACACATGTATTTTATAGCAGAAAACAAAAGGCACCATTCTCAACTAAATCAAAGGCAGCCAATAATTTATCTGATGGCTCACAGTTTAGTCTATCCTTTTCTTCCAGAAACTGAAAGTGCAAAAGGAAGTTTCTCCTGGTGGAAAATTATGCTTCTCCTGTCGGGCGCTTGACACAACATTTCAAGGGTGCACTTACAAGTGGATACTTAACCTGTTTCACAAGAAAGGGAGCCAGAAGCTCCCAAGTTAAATCATAAAATAACAGTTGAAAGCACATTAAACAGAATTCAACAGTGTGTGTGTGTGTGTGTGTGTGTGTGTGAGTAACTATGACATAGTGTCACTAGAATTGCTTTTTACTCTTGGTGATTTTACTTCAAAAATGTTGAGATACTAGAGCACCCCTGTAAGTATGCTGCTTGCTCTCTAAAAACCATTTTGCTGTTTGGCTGTGAGGGGCACAGTTAGCTGTCATCCTCCAGCTACAGTGTGGGGCCTCAACTCTCCCTGCAGCCCACGGCCATGACTAACCATGGCAGGGATGCTCAGGGCTGGCCATGTCTAGAGCCCAGGGTTGACCAAGACGTTGTTGCCAACTGAAGTTCAATGTGACCAGTTCTCTGTGATCAATCCTGCTTCCTCCTTTCTTTCACGAACGTTAGATAAGTAGCTTAGTCTGTGGTTCTCCCTGCCCAGTCTGTCCCTCCCCTTTATTACTTACAGATTAACGTTTTGCTTTCCTGACAGCTCACTCTCTATCCTAGTGGACTCACGAGATGCAAATATTTTCAAGACAATGTAGGAACACAAAAGGTGTGGGATTTAGCCCCACAACCGAACGGGTGCTGAGGAGCGGCTTGTGGAATTATAGAAAAATAAATCAGACGGGAAAGATGGGACATAGAGGCTCCTCTTCCATATTGGAATCAAGACATAGGGGGGCCAGGTTATTAATGAGATATGCAAACCTCCATCAGGCACATATACCATAGATTGGGCAAAATGTGAATCTGAGATATGCTGACTTCTTTAGGGAGAACATCTCAGGGCATGCAAGAAACAAATGGTGACAGTCACTCGAGGAGAAAAGTAAACAGCTGACAGTGGATGTTAAAGAAATAAGCGTATTCTTAATAGTGTGTATGAGAAACTAGACTTGTGTAGGAAGCAGCTTACCAATCTACAGAGGGGTCCGTGTGAAGAGCTTGTGCCTGGAGAATTATATGCATCTGGCTTCTTCTTAATTTACTAGAAAAGGACGAATACTTCTTTATTAAGTAGTGGGAAGCTAAGTTACAAAGGAAAAGCTGACTCCTAGTGTGATAAGAACTAAAGAGGCTTTGTCTGTGTGTCCTTAAGTGGCAGCTTTACATTAGCAATTCAAGGGAGAGTGGTTGTGGGGAAAACGCTTTCAGTCTGGAGAAGGAATATTAGGTTTTATTTCCTCTGTCTCAGAACTGGGAGAGCCTTCCCCCACCAGAGTCAGCCTTCCGAACTCCTTGGTTATGAGTGCAGAAAACTGGGTTGTTTCCATTTTCATCCAGTTTCTTAGTTTCCCACCAAATGGTTTACAGCTGGCATCCCTCAGTGGTGCATGTGGCTTTGCGCTCACCTACTAATTAAAGGTTGGAGGTTCAAATCCACACAGAGGTGCCTTAGAAGAAAAGACTGGCAATCTACAGAGGTTAGGACAACTGAAATCCTGATGGAGGGATGCCGCACTTCCGCTCTAACACACAGTTGATAGGTCTAATGGCAGTTGGCTGGTTGCTGCTTGTGATGTAGAGCGCATCCTCTACTAGGCTTGGATATCCTGGCACCAGTCTGCTGAAAATGAGTTACGCTTCTTCCAAAGTGAAGCTGTTTCATTTAAATTATTCAACTGAGACACAAATGAAAACTAACCCAGGGGAAAAAAATTCATATTCTGAAATTTCACTCCAGTTACGTGAACGATTTCTAAGGACCAAGGTAAGGGACTTAGTTTAGTATTCCTTTTGTGTTTGATGTGAACTGATTAGAGCCAAGACATCATAGTTACAATGAGAGAACACCATTTCAATTTCTGCCACTTTAATCACAATTTCACTCTGAGCACTATTCTTCTTGATAAGATGCCTCCCCTTGTGGTTCCACAGAATGAAAAGGAAGAGGGTAATAATTGCAATCTTGCTGTTGCAGGAGAGTTTGGAGAGGTGTACAAGGGGCGTTTGAAACTGCCGGGCAAGAGGGAAATCTACGTGGCCATCAAGACCCTGAAGGCTGGCTACTCAGAGAAGCAGCGGCGGGATTTTCTGAGCGAGGCCAGCATCATGGGCCAGTTCGACCATCCCAACATCATCCGTCTGGAGGGGGTGGTTACCAAGAGTCGGCCAGTCATGATCATCACCGAGTTCATGGAGAACGGCGCTTTGGATTCTTTCCTCAGGGTAAGAGCTCTTCAGGGCATTGATGCTGATGCCTGTTGATGTTGGATACGAGTGAACGGTGGCTCCTAAGAAGGGTCCCCATGGATCTGAGTGAGCAGAACCCACCCTTTGGGAATTGCTGGATGAGAGGTGGGCAGGGCATTGGAGATGTTACACAATTGTGTTGCTCAAAGGACGGGACCAAACAGTCTGTGGGAGGGAGTTGACAGATGCCTGTTGCAGGAATAGGAAGGGTTACTGTAGTTGTTGGCTGCAGTCAAGCTGTCTCCAAAGGTGGCAACCCCACGTGTAGCAGCAGAATGAAAGATGGCCTGGTGCCTCATCTTCTGCATGATCCTCCGGGAGCTCCAGCCATTGTGGTGGCCACTGTGTGTCTGGGCTGCCTGCTAGCCTGTGTGCGCATCTTCCAGCCCTATAGCACATATCATCCTGTTATGATCTGAAGATTTTCACTCGCTAGTTTTGGAGAGTCGCGTGTGAGCCCCTTCTTCCTAGTCTCTATTAATCTGGAAGTACCATGGAGACCTGTCTACCCCAGGTAGCATGGAGGGTATTTGAAATGCCATTGATATCACTTTATCATCATCGTAATAGGAAAGCCATCACAGTATAGCACACTGACAGATGGTGGTGGTACATGAACAGAGAAAGCAAAGAATGGGCATTGGTGTCTGTCTGAAAGAGTCTTTGGCCTGGGACATAGCTCTGTGTGCTTCAGGTAGACACCAGTAGCCATTCCCTATCTTTGCATCAGCACCGGTACCCTCCAAGCCAGCTCCTTTTGTTTGCAGTTCAGTGATAAATTGGGTTGCCCTTTCCCAATGCCTGGCAAGCCTGCTCTTGAGGGAGGCATTTCTGGACAGACAGGGGGATACTGTGTCTCAGCATCCACAGTCTTTGCCAAGGCCAATGAAAAATTATGATACTCACAGTGGAGATGGGATGTACCTGAACGCATATGGCTAGAAGACCTTTAAAAGATCCTTCTCAGAACATGCGACAACTTGAGCCAGGTTCTCAGTGGAGCCTTTGGTGTGATGAATTACTTTTTTATGGCCGTTCTCATCATAATATTGTAACTCCAAGTGATTGGCTGGGGCTGGGCACATAAGGTACTTGCGGCCCACTAAGAGTATTGGAGAGCTTACTACTAATGTAAATAATGTGCATAGCACCTAGTGGAGGCTAGGACCATCCAAATACTCTGTAGGGAACATTGGCAAGGGATTGGATAGTTTACCATCCTGCTGAACTTAAAATGAACCATCCCCTCACTACTGCCAAGAAGAAATACTAGTGGACCTGGGGTGCCTGCATTGAGAACCTCCTAGACTCAGAAGACACACACACACACACACAGAGAGCTCTATGGCACAAGAGACACTGCAAGATGACAAGACACAGTGACAAGATTCAGAACTGAGTACCTGCAAGAGTAGGTTTATGGGACTGTCTCTGAGTTCTTATTGGCAGAACTAAGGAGCAATGTAAAATTTGCCGAAGTAGGGCAGAGACCAGGCTATGGGAAGGAGGGGCCAAGAGGCCAACGGCCAGAAGGAGGTCTGCCTATGGGCACAACTGAGAAGAAAGACAATCCTAATCAAAGAATTGGATTCTGAGTTGTTCCTGACCCTAAATTGTAACCTGTTATTTCCCTATTAAACCCCGTAACTGGGAGTAAGGTCTCTGAGTTCTGTGTGGCTTTGCAGTAAATTATTAAACCCAGCAGAGAAGTGGTGAGGATTGTCAGCAAAGGTAACAAAGATTGGAGAAAAGAGGTATAGCTGACCTCTGCTTCAGACTTGGGCTATTGACCTTGAGTCTCCTTGTAAAATCTCCCCCTTGTAAAGTTAGAGGAGGTCAGATCCCCCTGCCACACTTGTACCTTCACAGTCGGCATCGTTGGTTTTTACCAGAACCTCTTTCCTTTCTGTAGAGCATCACAGAGCCCTCTGTAAAGGGTTCGGTGAGAATGACCAAGATTCTGCTGTCTAGAGACGTAAGGCTCAGAGAAGAAGGCCCAATGGACAGGATCAACGACTGAGCAAGGACTTCAGGCTGATGCCAAATAGCAGGGGACACATGCCACAAGCAGCCGGGGCTACAGATTAATACAACCGATTCTAACTCTCATGGGGTGATTGGTCTGGCTAGGCCATGTGGACCGATAGAGATGAAACAACTATCACAAGTCATCTTAAGTCAGGTTGGGTTGGCTTAACATAACAACAACCATTTACTTTGCTCATGTATTTGCACTCTAGACGGGGCTTAGACTTGTCACTGTCCAATGAGCAATACGTTGGGGGTGATTCAAAGGCTGTGGATTGAAGTCATCTGAAGGCTCCCTCACTCATACATTTGGCTGTTAATGGAACCTCTGTGTGTGACCTGCTTGGGCTTCTTCAGAGAAAGCTGAATTCAAATAAAAAATGTCCCAAGAGGACACAGTGTATGCTCCGTCACCATTTGTGGTCTCACCTCAGAAGTCAGATGATCTGCTTCTACCATAGTTGCAGCTCACCCGTACGCAAAGGAAAGGTATTTAATAAGCTGTGTTTTGAGGGGAGGAAGGCAACTCAAGGTCTTCATCCACAGATGGAATGGGAGATCGTGTGACAGTCTTCCATAGATCTAGTCCCTGTACCCAAGAACCTCCATGCACACAGTCTAAGGCAATCATCTGACTATATGACACTTTCTTGCATCCGGGAGTAGAAGACAGAAGAGTAAGTGAAGGATAATTTAAATATTCATGGAGAAGTCATGGAAGGCTTCAAAGAGGAGGGAGAGAATCATCTGATACTGGCTAACAAAGACTTTTGCCAATCAGTTGTCAATTGTGGGACCAGGTAGATAGGCTGAGGGAACAGCATATACAAAGGTTTAAAAGGGCTATTTGGTAATATCTCAGTATATGCACAGTGGCTCCAGAGCTTATAAGCACAGCTTTAGGGCTGCAACGTGTAGGGAAATCTGAGAGACTTGTCTAGAAGCTGCGTTTACACACTACTGAAGTCTGCAGGCAAGCACATCCTTGTGTCTCATATAGGTCACTAGGCAACTGTGGCTTTTGTGGGGACAAGGACAACTGACATGCAGGTTATGGGACCCTGGAGTCTGAAACTACCCTGGCATAGCTTCTTTGAGTGTATGCTTATGTCTTATTGTAGTTTGAAATCCTACTAGCAAGCACAAGGAGGTTATTTATAGTCATTGAGTCAGCTCCAACTCTTAAGAGCCTTATGTGTAACAAAATGAAGTGGTGGCCCATCTGCATGACTGCTGGTATTGTTGTAGCTGTGACATCAATCCATCTCATTGAGGGTTTCCCTTATTTCCATGGGCCCTCTACTTGACCAAATAAGACAAACCCTGTGGATTATTACTTAGCAGAGGGAGTCCCTGGGAAATGCTAGTTGAATGAATGAAAACATGAGCAACTATTTCTAAAACACCAGGGTTAACAGGAAAAGTCTAGTCACCGTGGGTGCATGTGACCTCTTGCTTGTTGCCCTTGGAGGCACACTGTAATGTCAGAGCAACAACATCGGGACCATGCTTTCCTGGCATCCATTCCTGATCAGAGATCTCTGGCAGACAGATAAAAATCAATAGGCAGCTATGCTACAAGAGCAAGAATCTTGAGCCCCAGGGCTTAAGATTCTTTCAGGTGTTATTGCTTTCTTAAAGCCACCTGATTGTGCTTCATAGAAAGCCACAACTTTATTTGGGGACTGTAATTAGATTCCCTGCCTGGAACATGCAAGAGACAGATTTCATTCTCAGTGGAGTATGGAAAACCACAGCCCCCCACCATTACTCCTCACGGGAACTACTTCCATTTGGGACCCAGCATGCGGGATGTGTTGGACACCGGTGTTTTTCATGATGATGAGGCCCAGCTTTCCAATACTGGACATGGAAGAAGGGATGGTGTAAGCTGACAGAGCCAGGAGGAGTGAGGGGAAATGAAGCTTTTCTGACTCCTTCCACAGCATGGAGGCAGGTAATCTATAAATCTAATTTGAGGCTTACTACAAAACCCTGGAGCATAGCAACAGTAATTGATGTATCTTCTGGTTGATAAAATACAAAAGTAGGTTATCAGTCCAGTTCTGCAGGGTCCATCTTCTGGGAAGAAGGATAATTTTAGGATCACCATTCAGAGAAGAAAGACAAAGGGTTCGTCCCAATTTGTGTGACTACTTCCTTCCCTCAACTTATCCCTCTTTGCTGGATGTAGCATCTCTGGAGAGTGACCACAGATCTAGCTCTGAGTCAGCATCCAAGAGGTTCTGGGCATCAGAATGTGGTCAACATACTTGACATCGCCTCTCACCGTCCACTCATCATTCCTCTTCCATTTTGAACTTCAGAGTCCCTCACATTCTAGAGTGATTATTAATGCAACACATTGTCCTTTAACCATACAGTCAGCATTGTTATCATTGTTTGTCGTGGCTGAGATACAGATTACATATCACCAAATCCATAATTAAGCATTTATTTCTTGGCACTCAAATCCAAAGGATTCACTGTGCTCACTTTTTCCTAATATTTGCAAGAACTCTTGAGGGAACATTGAAGTCACAGTGGATGTCCATGGCTCAGCTAGGAATCTCAACGTACACTGGAAGACTTTCTTGCCTGAAAATTGGTCTTATGGTCAAGCGATGGTACATTTGCAGAGGATCATAACTGGAAGACTCAGAAGTTATTGTGTAACGATCTCAAATGAGCTATAGTTCACACGCCCCCAGGTCCAATGGGGAAGCTCATTCTTGGGGATGATGCTTGAGAACAGCAAGCCAGATGTCAGCAGAGAGACACCAGCTTGAAGGTCCTGAGACCAAGCTCCACATCAGACTCTGCCCGGAGTCACCCTGTGACCTTGAGAAAATCTGTTAACTCAATTTCCCAATCCATAAACTACAGGTATTGAGCTGGGTGATCTGGAAAGGGCTCTTGCAGTTAAAAGAAAAAATCTATGATTCATT